GGGTAACTACAGGCCTGTTAGTTTGACATCTGTAGTAAGCAAGGTCTTGGAAAAAATTTTGAAGGAGAAAGTAGTTAAGGACATTGAAGTCAATGGTAAATGGGACAAAATACAACATGGTTTTACAAAAGGTAGATCGTGCAAAACCAACCTGATCTCCTTCTTTGAGAAAGTAACAGATTTTTTAGACAAAGGAAACACAGTGGATCCAATTTACCTAGATTTCAGTAAGGCATTTGATACCGTGCCATATGGGGAATTATTAGTTAAATTGGAAAAGATGGGGATCAATAGGAAAATTGAAAGGTGGATAAGGAATTGGTTAACAGGGAGACTACAGCGGGTCCTACTGAAAGGTGAACTGTCAGGCTGGAGGGAGGTTACCAGTGGAGTTCCTCAGGGATCGGTTTTGGGACCAATCTTATTTAATCTTTTTATTACTGACCTTGGCACAAAAAGTGGGAGTGTGCTAATAAAGTTTGTGGATGATTCAAAGCTGGGAGGTATTGCCAATTTAGAGAAGGACCAGGATATCATATAGGAGGATCTGGATGACCTTGTAAACTGGAGTAATAGTAATAGGATGAAATTTAATAGTGAGAAGTGTAAGGTTATGCATTTAGGGATTAATAAGAATTTTAGTTATAAACTGGTGATGCATCAATTAGAAGTAATGGAGGAGGAGAAGGACCTTGGAGTATTGGTTAATCATAGGATGACTATGAGCCGCCAATGTGATATGGCTGTGAAAAAAGCTAATGCGGTCTTGGGATGCATCAGGCGAGGTATTTCCAGTAGAGATAAGGAGGTTTTCGTACCATTATACGAGGCACTGGTGAGACTTCACCTGGAATACTGTGTGCAGTTCTGGTCTCCCATGTTTAAGAAGGATGAATTCAAACTGGAACAGGTACAGAGAAGGGCTACTAGGATGATCTGAGGAATGGAAAACTTGTCTTATGAAAGGAGACTCAAGGAGCTTGGCTTGTTTAGCCTAACTAAAAGAAGGTTGAGGGGAGATATGATTTCTCTCTATAAATATATCAGAGGGATAAATACCAGAGAGGGAGAGGAATTATTTAAGCTCAGTACCAATGTGGACACAAGAACAAATGGATATAAACTTGTCATTGGGAAGTTTAGACTTGAAATTAGATGAAGGATTCTAACCAACAGAGGAATGAAGTTTTGGAATAGCCTTCCAAGGGAAGCAGTGGGGGAAAAAGATCTATCTGGCTTTAAGATTAAACTCGATAAGTTTATGGAGGAGATGGGATGATGGGATAACATGATTTTGGTAACTAATTGATCTTTAAATATTCATGGTAAATAGGCCTAATGGCCTGTGATGGGATGTTAGATGGGGTGGGATCTGAGTTACTACAGAAAATTCTTTCCTGAGTATCTGGCTGGTGAATCTTGCCCATATGCTCAGGGTTTAGCTGATCGCCATATTTGAGGTTGGGAAGGAATTTTCCTCCAGGGCAGATTGGAAGAGGCCCTGGAAGTTTTTCGCCTTCCTCTGTAGCATGGGGTACGGGTCACTTGCTGGAGGATTCTCTGCTCCTTGAAGTCTTTAAACCAAGATTTGAGGACTTCAATAGCTCAGACATAGGTGAGAGGTTTTTCGCAGGAGTGGGTGGGTGAGATTCTGTGGCCTGCATTGTGCAAGAAGTCAGACTAGATGATCATAATGGTCCCTTCTGACCTTAGTATCTATGAATCTAAACACCCACAATGCAGTTTACATCAAGTCTAGCCAGCACATTGTGAATGGAGTTTGAGTGATTGCCCACCAACGAACACAACAGGCCACAGAAGAAGCCTATCCCCATCTAATGGACATTCCTGAGGACCTTCTATCTAGTGTACGGGTAATGGCTGCTCTGACTCATGCAAGGGCATGTGACTAGAGCAGGGGCGGGCAAGCTTTTTGGCCTGAGGGCCGCATCAGGTTTCTGAAATTGCATTGAGGGCCGGTTAGGGGAGGCTGTGCCTCCCCAAACAGACAGGCCCCCGCCCCCATCTGAACCCCCCCCGCTTCTCACCCCCTGACAGCCCCCCCCCAGGACTCCAGCCCCATCTGCCCCCCCTGTTCCCTGATGGCCCCCCTGTCCCATCCCCTGTCCCCCGCTCTCAGTCCCCTGACCGCCCCCGGACCTCCGGCCCCTAACTGCCCCCTGCCACCCCATCCAACCCCTCCTCCCATTCCTGACTGCCCCACGGGACCCCTGCCCCATCCAACACCCCTTCTCCCTGACTGCCCCCCACCATCCCATTCAACCCCCCCTCTCCTTCCTAACTGCCCTCCCCAGGACCCCTGCCCAATCCACCCCCCCGCTCCCTGCCTCCTAACCAGCCCCCGCCACCCCATCCAACTCCCCCTCTCCTTCCTGACTGCCACCCCTTGCCCCCATTCAACCCCTATTCCCCACCCTCTGACTGCCCCATCCCCTATCCACACTCCTGACCACCCCCTGAACTCCCCTGCCCTCTATCCAACCCCCACCGTTCCCTGCCCCCTTACCACGCTACCTGGAGCACCGGTGGTTGGCAGCACGGCTGCACCAGGACAGGCAGCCCCGCCACGCAGCACAGAGCATCAGGTCAGGCTGGACTCTGCAGCCCCACCGCCTACAACATTGTGCCGCATGGCGGCAGGGAAGGGGAGACAGCAAGGGAAGGGCTAAGAGCTAGCCTCCCAGGCCAGGAGCTCAGGGGCCAGGCAGGACGGTCCCGCGGGCCATAGTATGCTCACCTCTGGACTAGACCCTGTGGTACTAAACTTCATCTTGTGTTCCTGTATTTTTCCACAAACTATGCCAAGGCTTTGTTTGAGACAATGAAGTTTCCCCCCACATGGCAGAAGCTATAGAAGGCCCTGGAAACAGCTCCATTTTGCCTCTTTCCTGCTCTGATCTCTGAACTATGGATTTATACTAATGGGAGCATTATAACCAAGGTACTGAGGACCTTCCAATTACTTGGGAACAACCAGAGACTTAACTAGTTAGCAGTTTATGCCATCACTGCTTTAAAGCTAATCCAATAATTTTGCAATTATTGTATTTATTTGATTCCTTTAACCAATTTTAACTCTCACCTCTTTCTTTCTTTTTATAAATAAAACCTTTAGATGTTAGATACTAAAGGATTGGCTGTAAGCGTGTATTTGTGTAAGATCTGAAATATCCATTAACTTGATGGGTAATATGGCTGATCATCTGGGATTGGTAGAACTTTGTATATGATGAACAAGATTTTCAGTAATCCTCATCATATTTGACTTGGCTGTCTGGGTGGAAGCCAAAGGCTGTGTTGCTTTAAGGGAATTGCATTTTGGCTTCTGGGTAACCAGTAAGGTATTATAGAAGTGTTTTGTTGCTATCTTGGTGGAACTAAGTATTGAAATAACCACCAATCTGGGGGACTGCCGCACTATTCTTTGCAGTTTGCCCTAATTGAGCAACCGCAGCATGGCTCCCCCGGGACCTGGCCACAAATGCCTACCCCTATTATGCCCAAGTCTTTTTAATGCTATTAAGTTCACATTTGCATGAACCAAAGTTCAGTTAGAAGTTTTAGACAACAGAAGCGCCCAAGTTTTTTAAATTAGGAGATCTACTTAAAAGGAGGAACATCTAAGCTCCCAAATGCAAGCAGGGACTAATCCTCCCCCGCTCCACCCGCCCAAGATCAGAAGCATATCTAATGCTTCTGAAGGGAACTTTGGTATCTAGGGCTCTCAATTTAACCACTATCAGATGCAACAAACTCAACAGAAGCACAAATAGACTTCACTCTTGCCCATAAGCAGCAGACAAAAGAGATCAGAGCAATTCACTCTTCATGCCCACACAATCCTCATCCTCACTGAGAGCCAACAACGGCCCTGACAAGTGCCTGGTCATCATGCAGCTTTGGGACATGGATACCGCCACACTATGAAAGGGACTGAGGCTACGTCTACACTATAGCAGCCACAGCTCTAAACCACCAGGAGAAAGCTCTCCCATCAGCTTAATAATTCCTGCCTCCACAAGAGGTGGTAGCTAAATTGGCGGGGGGGTGGAGCAGCTTCTCTCACACAAACAGCGCTGTCCACAGTGGCGCTTAGGTCAGTGTAATTTACATGACTCGGTGGGTGGCTTATTCACACCCCTGAGTGACATAAGTTATACCGAAGTAATTTGTAGTGCAGACAACCTGAGACAAGCAACTCATTTGTCTGGGGTCAGACTCCTGTCAGATCGTTAAGATTCTAGTCACAATTGTCCGGGGCTTTTTATATACCGGTTGAGGATGGAGTCTTCAAGGGGGCCATTTAATCATCACAGCACACTGAAGTACAGTACTCCTGCAGCATTTGCAGAAGTCAGATTCTTCCATCATTCATCAGAAAGCAATGAGGCTTTCGCTGGATAAACTGTGAAGTGAAAGTCTCATTGCTCCTTCTACTGGGAAAGATGTGAACAATACCAACGTTGCTTCACCCGAGCTCAGCTGTTTAAAAGGACACGTCCAGTGACAGTCAACGGCAGCTTGTCCGACAGGTCACGTCTCCAACCAGCCCCGCCTGGTTAAGCGGGCAGAGCGTGCTCAGAACTAGGATGATTTTCACATGGCGGCCAAACAGCCGTATGTTTTGACCCCATTTCCCCACCGTCTTTGCTCCTTTCTCCCCAGCTTCTCCCGGGGGCCTTGGCACCCCGGGCCTCCCCGCCTGGCAGGGCAGGGAAGGGGCCGCTCCTCAGCCGCGGGCGGACCGGCCAGGGAGCGCTGCCCCACGGCTCCGCTCAGGGGCCTCGCCTTGCCCCGCGTCAACAGAGGCCCCATGGGCCGGCGGCAGGAGCCTCGCCTGGAGCCCCTGTCCCGCGCAGGCCCGGCCCGCAGCTCGGCGCCCCCGTGCCACGCCAAGCTGGGGGAGCGATGCCGAGCCCGCCCCGCAGCGGCTGGGTCCCCGCGCGGGAGGGAAGGCCGGGCCCGGCCCGCTCACTCACGCTTGTACTCAGCCATCAGCCGCTTGAGCGCCGTGCCCGCCATGCCCGGCCGGGCCGCAGCCGCCAGCCGTGAGGAGCTGGAGCGCGCCCCGCCGCCGCCAGCCGCGTCCGAGGCAGCAGCGCACCATAGAGAGCCAGGCGGCGCGGCTAGAAAGGCCGCCCAGGCCCAGCGCGCAGCTCCCTCTCGCTGGTGCTGCGGGGTCCGTCGGGCGCACGCGCTAGGGGCGGGGCTGCTGGAGACTGAGAGCCCGGGGTGGAGGGAGGGGGGACATCAAGACTCCACCCCCGCGGCCGCTGCACGGGCCCGGCCCGCGGATGCCTCCCCGCTTCCACAGCCCCGGCCCCCCTAGTTAATCCAGCTCCGTGGTCCTGGCGCTGCGGGAAGGAGTCGTTGGGCGCCGAGTGGACGGAGGGTTCCGCCCAGCCTTGTGTCTGAGCGCAGGGGGCGGGTGCTCCAAAGGGCCGAGTTAAGGGGACGCAGTGGGTCCCGTAGTGCCAGGCCTCACCCTTGCAAGAAATGCGAGGCCTGAGCTGGGGGACGCGCAGTCCAGGCCTCCCTCTTCCCCCACCCCAGAGGCTGCCAGTGAGCAGCTGGGGGATTTGTTTGGAGCATAAGTGGACTGGGCGAGTGGTGGCTCTGGTAGCTGGCGCGGGCTAAGGGGACTGGCAGCCATGGGCCTCTGCCATGCACCCCGCTGCCACCCAGTCACACCTGCCAGCCCTTTGCTGCCAGTGCTGCCTGCCCACGGCCCCAGGCTAGGGTGACTAGATGTCCTGTTTTTAAAAGGACAGTCCTGGTCTTTGGGACTTTTTCTGAAATAGGCGCCTATTACCCCCCACCCTCTGTCCCATTTTTTCACAGTTACTATCTGGTAACCCTGCCCCAGGCTTCTAGTTTGTCCAGTCCTGATGTGTCTGGTGGTGGGATGCCAAGATCCCCAACCAGGACTGGAAGGAGGAGGATGAGCCCCTGGCTGCAGAGAGGCCGCCCAACTGCTGAACAGTTCCTGCCAGAGATGGCTTCCACGCTCCAGGCTGGTGAGTGAGTGAGCAGGGCTGTGACAGCAGAGCTGCAAAGGACTTTCTGTATGGCCACAGAGCCAGTGACACTGGATTCCTGCAGATGCAAAGTGCAGGGAAGGCTGCAGTCCTGTGGGCAGAACAGAGACCCTGGCACTCCCAGCTGGTGTGACACCGTCAGATGGGTGACAGCGGGGCTGCAAAGGGCTCCCTGCTCTGCCCCAAGAGCCAGTCAGCAGCAGCGTGGCCTCCCCCGCACCTGGGATCTCTTCCTTCTCCTTGCAGTCCTAGCCGGGGGTCTCTGCTCTGACCCACCACGACCCAGGACCGCAGCCTTTTCCCGCACCTTGTGCCTGCAGGGAGCCCTCTGCAGCTCCGTTATCACAAACCCGCTCAGCCACTCCTATGGCAGAAGGGTTGCAGAGAGCTCGCTTTGTGGCCACGGAGCCCTACAGGCACACAGACTGTGACCCATTGATCCTCTTTTTAGTAATGTCAGTGTGTCAGCTGAAATCAACATCTACAGACAGTTATCGATTAAAATGGAACCCTGCCAAACCAGACTATAGTAGAGCTATTGCTATGCTATAATCTTGAGTATTGCCCATGGTAGGAGGGAGAATGTGATGCGGAGGAAGTTGAGAGGTGAGGTACACTAGGCAGGCCTACACTCTTAACACACCAAGCACTGTGGGGAAATGTGCCCAGTGCTGAGGGTCAGCACACCACCTGAGCCCTGCCAGTGATGCTGTGTACAGGGGCAGAATGGCTATAGCTGGGGGCCTTTGCACATGTTATACACCATAGCAGGGCTCAGCCTCAGCTCAGAATAGACTTGCATGAAGGGGAGACTTCAGAACAAGCCCAGGAGAAGGTCCATAGGATCGATGATTACCTAGATTCAGGGGCTTGAACCCCCTGTCTGCCACAGGCTGGAGTAGTGGCTGTGATTGGGTTGCACTATATGCTTTTTCCATGGGCTGGGCAGTGGGTGCGTTTTGCTTTAAGAAGGTACAGCAACACTATCTAACTCCAGCACCTTTATAATCTGGAACATTCTGGGTTGGCAAAGTTCAGCAGTTTGCAGCTAAGCATTGCATTATACGTGCAAATAAATCGAAAAATGTTCTATTTACTTGGTCTCTGTGATTCCAGGGCCTGCTCCAGCTGTTCCTTAGAATTCATGACAGCACATTTGAGTGCTTCATGAGCATTCTTTATTCCTTTGCTGACTCAGCCTTATGGGAGTTGGGAGAAAAGGTCTGTCATATCCATACAGCTAAGGGTAGCCTAGAATTCCTCCTTACCTGTAAGGGGTTAAGAAGTTCAAATAACCTGGTTGGCACCTGACCAAAAGGACCGATGGGGAAAGATACTTTCAAATCTTGTGTGGGGGAAGGCTTTGTTGGTATGTTCTCTGGGGAAAGCAGAGAAGCATCAGGTCAAAAAACTCCTTCTCCTATAAACCATCCTGTACAAGTCTCTGATATTACAAAGAGTAAGTAAATAAGGCAAGGCACTTTAAATTACCTTTTCTTTTCAAATTGTGAATTTTCCCTTTGCTAGAGGGAGGTTTATCCCGGTTTTTTGTAACTTTAAGGTTTTGCCTAGAGGGGAATCCTCTGTGTTTTGAATCTGATTACCCTCTAAAGTATTTACCATCCTGATTTTACAGAGGTGATTCTTTTACCTTTTCTTTAAATAAAATTCTGTTCTTAAGATCCATCAGGTCCTTAAAAGAAATAAAAAATCAAAGGGTTTGAGTCTGTGTTCACCTGTACCAATTGGTGAGGAAATTATTCTCAAGCCTTCCCCAGGAAAGGGGGTGTAGGGCTTGGGGGAATAGGACTCCAAGTGGTCCTTTCCCTGGTTCTTTGTCTAAATCACTTGGTGGTGGCAGCATACTGTTCAAGGACAAGGCGGAATTTGTGCCTTGGGAGAGTTTTTAACCTAAGCTGGTAAAATAAACTTAGGGGGTCTTTCATGCAGGTCCCCACATCTGTACCCCAGAGTTCAGAGTGGGGAAGGAACCCTGGCAATGTCCATGACCTTTTGTAATAACTCACATTGATAAAGCACCTTTTATGCAGAAGACTGTAATTACAGAGGTGGAGGATTTAGCATCAGAAAAGAATGGCTAAATACACACACACAGACATGCCTTTCTACTTTAACCTCTTTCACTGAACGCATTAGACTGCTGATCCCAGTTTAATTCCATTACCTGCACCAGTTAGACCAGGTTTGAATTTGGAACGTGTACAAGGTTTTAAGATTGTCTTATTAATAGTCATAGGCTTCAAGGCCAGAAATACCGGTTTGAGGGTGGCTTGCCCTTCAAGGGGCATTGGGCCCCACCTGTAATTAATCAGCTACTGCACAGTTGATGCTGTGAGACCAGGGGTCAGGTGACAACTTGAAGATCTGGTGCCCCAAAAAGCCAGCAAGTAGTTGTGCTGGACAGCTGTGGTGAGTAGACAGACTCCTGCAGGAGATTCTGGTGTGGGGGAAAAGAACCCTATTTGTATACAATTCTTAGGGAGGGGAGATGATCTGCCAAGGTGAAAACTGCAGAGGGCAGGCCAAGGAAAAAAAAGCTCACCTTGACTCCCAGGCAGGTAGCCTCCTGGATGCAATTTAGTAGGGAGTAAGTGGGTACCTCCAGAAGACTCCAGTTCAGGGGGAAGGAACACAACTGAGGTCGTGGACAGTTTCATTTTAAAGACAAAACTGAAGCTGTGAAGAACAGGGCGTAGAATCCTGAGTTTGGAGTGTGTTCTTTGATGTATGGGCTGGTGAGCTAGCACCCAACACCCTTCTGACTTCTTACGTAATACGGGCCACAAATTTTCACTCAGATTCTTGTATGTTGGGTGAAGTAGAGCATTTCTTAAAGATTTCACATGATGGAGAGTCCATCTCACCCTTTGGTATTTTGGTCCAATAGTTAATTTACCTGCACTGTAAAAAGCATGTGCCTCCTTGGAGTTTAATGACAGGTTTCAGAGTAGCAGCCGTGTTAGTCGTATCCACAAAAAGAAAAATAAATTTGTTAGTCTCTAAGGTGCCACAAGTACTCCTTTTCTTCTTGGAGTTTAAATTGGTCTAGTTTCTATTTCCAGCCAGTGGCTTCTCTTATGGCTTTGCTAGATAGATTAGAGAGCCCTGCAGGCACACACAGATTGTAAAATGTAACATCTCACTGAAAGATGGGAAATTCAAACTGTCCCCTAGTTTTTGGTAATTGCATACCTGCAGAACTTGAGAGCTGTAGGCTGTCTTGCTGCTCAGGCATGCGTGGCTTAGCTGCAGTCACATGAGCCTGTAGACCAGTTCAGCTAGATGGAATCTGACCACTCTAAGTGGAGTAGTAGTCAGAGCGATAGGAGAAGACAGGTTCCCTCTTCTCCTGATCCACATTTTCCACTCCTCCTGCTGCTCTCAGAGATCTAGGCTACAGAGTAGACTCCAAGCTTCAGCTTCCTGAATGATTCAGTCCCCCCTTCAAGTGAAACCTTGGAAAGGGGAGCCCCACCTCCCTGAGAAAGCAGTATACCTCACAGATAGTACTGTCTGCTCAGCACAATGGGCCTGTTTTGAGTACTTGTTTTCCTTTCCCCCACATTTTTGAATGATCTAGTCCCTCTCAGGCCAGATAAGTTCTAGCTACCCTGCTTAGGGCTACAGGAGCTGTTTCTGAAGACAAAAAATGACATACATCAAAGTGACAAGTATGGTACATTGTGTGTAAAATGTCAAAGCTGTCTCTACACTGGGAAACACCAGTGCTGAATTTCACTCTGCAAATTTATCTCAGAGGAAGTGGAACATGTCTAGTGTCTGGTGATGTGTTTCGCACTGTGGGAAATACTCTAATTCATCAAAAGGGAAAAGCTGCATGCAATTGTTCTTTAGAAACCGCCTCAGAGAGAGAAAGAATAGCTACCGCAAAATTTTCATTGGGAAACTGGCGATGGTGAAAGTTGTCTGACACACAAGCAATGAAAGATGTTGCTTTTTTTAGTTTGGTGGGATCACTTGTCTTTGTGTGCCCTGAATGCTCTGTATTTATACCTAGAAGCAAACCTAACAATGTACTGCTGTCATACTGGCATCTCAGTAAGTTCAGTTACAGGTATGTTTCTTACGTTGAGTTGGCCTCTTGAACAACTCAGCACAGCTGCTGTTTACAGAGAAACCTGGAAATCTTCCAACGCTCCTGCCCAATTATTTTTTGGTTCAGGTAATTAACAAAACACACAAAAGATATTCCTCACCAGTTAACCATAGTAGAGTTTGGATTACCAGACGAGTGTGCCTTTACTGTAACCCTAGTTGCTTGTGAGTATAAGTACCCTGAACTGTGCATTCACTGTACCTATTATCATGTTCAGTGTAGCTGATTAGAACTATCAGAGGTGACAGGTTTCAGAGTAACAGCCGTGTTAGTCTGTATTCGCAAAAAGAAAAGGAGTACTTGTGGCACCTTAGAGACTAACCAATTTATTTGAGCATAAGCTTTCGTGAGCTACAGCTTATGCATCCGATGAAGTGAGCTGTAGCTCACAAAAGCTTATGCTCAAATAAATTGGTTAGTCTCTAAGGTGCCACAAGTACTCCTTTTCTTTTTATCAGAGGTGAGGATTTCAATGCAAGATATGGTAACAAATAAAGCAATGGCACTTCAGTGACCTCATGTCAAGTAAAGCCTTCAGAAATGCAGCAGCATTAAACATAAGCCATGAGACAGAGTACCAAACTATATTTACTGTATACAGTAGTAAAGGACAACAAATAATGTACAAATTGGTGACTAAACTATGAGCTCTAACAGAATATCCCACCCTAGCCCATATACAATAAAATGAAAAAGAAAATAAGGACTTTTCCCAGCAAGATTTCAAGCAAAGTGATGATCTAATGTTGTCAAATTGGTCAGGTAAATATAAAAGGCAGATAATGACCTAATCAAGCAGCGATTGACAACCTATTGAAGGATAATAGAATGACCTTTTAAAAATTTCATTTGGAGTAGAGCCCAAAACATCATACAGAACTGAAAGTCACCACATAAATGCATTTAAAATTCAATACATTTTGGGAAGCAGCAGAGCAGAAATTTCTCAGAAGAACCTTAAATTACCTTTTCAAGGTTTTTGTGCTTAGCAATCTTTTAATAGCTCTTCTGCACATACAACTTGGCCATAAGCTCATCAAGAGTCTGTCTGTTAGGGGTTTGTTTTGTTTTATATAAGACCACATTTATCCATAAGAAACACATATTGAAAGAAACCAGAGGCCACATATTTACTAGTACCAAGTGAGTAATAATGATACAACTTCTATGTTTGTATTAAAGGGGATGACAGGGACAAGTTACACATTTTTTTGTCCATCACCTAATAAATGGATAGTGAGCTGTGACGATGGACTTTTTTCTTTTTATTCTTACGGAACATAATACACTAGTGTTCAGTCATGAACACCAGTAGGTTTGGACTAGCATTCTGGTTGCTGACATTAATTCTGGGCAATTCCTTCATTTTTGTTTTTTAAAACTTAAATTTCAGTCTATTTTATCAGATTATGACAAAGCACATGTACATTTGCAATATTTTAAACATTTACTCTATACTAAGCCTTATATCTGCATGTACAGTCCTTGTATCATAGGTTTTAAGTTTTACAATAATAACTGTGTTTACAACACATAGTAAAAACTTCTAAATCAATAACCTTTTCTTCCCTTGCCCTATTGTAGGAGGAGATTTTAAACTCACTACTGAAGTGAGGATATATTTACATGATTAGAATTATGCAGTGGGGCAATAATATAACAAGAGCCAGGAATGAACAATTCATGTCCTAGAATATAGGTGGTTACTTAGGCCACAGGTTTATATAAACAAGGTAACAGCAGACAGACAACCCATATTTTACTTAAACTGAAAAGTTAATTCCATTTGGCCCAATTTAAGATGTAGGTTAATCCCTGCAGATACAGTTTAGACTTGCACACGCAGTATGTCAGAGGGACAGCAGAACAATTTTGGTAAATGTCCTCTAAAGTTTTAGAAGAATCCTGTGTGATTGGCATGTTCATTCATTACTATTTAATAGCAAATCCAAGGACAGATGAGAAAGTGAGGTGTGACAAGGGTCTTTAAATTCCTCTTCCCAAAAGGATCACGTTTAACACACTCCACCTGTCTGCTGTTGAAACACATCAATAGTATCTTCATCTTCCATCTCCAGCTGTTGGATTAATGCACAAATATTTTAATATATACATAGCTATATATTTTAAAAGGGCATTTAGTTCTTGCATTGTTAATAGCATTACTCATTAAAAAGCAGTGTTTAAATTTAAACTTTAATGCTTATTAAATTCCCCTCTCCACCCAACTAGAAAGCAACATCACCCCTTCACCACAGTGTCTTCCCAGCTCCAGTCACAAGTTGTCTTGGTCTCCCTTCAGCCAAGACATTCCAGGCTGACTGACATTGCGTTGGAGAACAAGATCCCAGATTTAGGCAGTAAAGTGGGGTCTAAGATCCAAGGCATTAAGGGCTTCATGTCAGTCTATGCTTTTCCTTTAGCGTCAACACACAGCACAGACTGTTCCTGCTCGACAGGCATAACTCTGGCCCTCCATTCACACCCTTGCTCCCCACAGTCTCAGGTTTGGTCTACACTGAAAAATTAGACAAACCTATCTTCGTTACTCAGGGCAGTGGAAAATTTCAGGCCCTGAGAACCATAGCTAGGTCAAAATGACCCCTGGTGTAGACATGACTAGGTTAACAGAAGGATTCTTCCATCAACCTAGTTACCGCCTCTCGGAGAGGTGGATCACCTACATCAACAGAAAAACCCTTTCTGTCAACATCGGGATCATCTACAATGTTACAGAGGCACAGCTGAAGCGCCATAGCTGTGCCGCCGTAGTGTAAACATACCCTCAGTATACTTCCCCAAGAAGCCTGGGACAAGATTCTCTGCTCTGTTTCCTCCTCTCTAACTGCTAAAGGTGTGGTTTCTGTTGATTTAATCTACAGATCTCCCCAAACTTCATTCCACTCCCAGCCAACTTCTGCAGCAGTGCACTTTGAACCACTGTGCAGTTCAATTTGTCTTCTGAACAGCAAGGGTCTGGAACTAATCTCAAAGGGCCAGATTGTGAACCCCTTTACTCAAGTGACTAACTGCTCACCACTGTGAACAGTTTATTCACATGAGTAGTACCATTAATTCTACAAGGGTTATACTCTGTGGGCACAGAAAAAGTTAGTCTTTTCAGCAAGCCATCCTGGGGTGCACTCCAGTCAGCTGCAGTCAGGGTGTCCCTTTTGAGAGAGATAATCTAGGCTGATAGTTTTCACATCCAATTACAAAATAGCTTTGCAGGGCATTCCCACAGCCAGAACAAACCAGTTTGGTCAGTGATTTATTGTTCTCTCTCAACCCCAAAGGAGGACTCATTAGTCCAATCCACACAATCCAGAATATGTCTTGGTTTTGTTTCTTGTATTCCCTACCACAGGTCTTGTCCATACCAGGAATTCTCCTCCCTGAAATTTATCACTATTGCCAGTACTGATTCAGCTTCAGCAGTGGCAGAAATGGTGGTAGCACTAGTGTAGACAAGGCACCAGCAGCCACCTGCGTTTTAATCATGATATTGTCTAGACCTACTCTGAGCATGGTTTGTAAGACAATCCTTAAAACTCTGGCAGCTATTTGGAGCCATGTCTACACTAGTACTCTCACTTGCTAATTGGGTCAAGCTCCACCAGTGGTAACAATTATGAGAAATTTTAAAGAAAAAGGAATCCTACTGCACATTTTGGGAACTGCCTACAACAGAGATAGTTTTCTATCAAAATGCCCCCTAAAATAGTTTTCTCTAGGTGCAGACACATCTAAAAATATACAGAGTTCTGCTACAGTTATTACAACGTATTTTCATACCTGTGCAGGTGTGTCAGTTTCATTAATTGGTTGTCCATCAAATCTGAATCTAATCTGTCTCATTGACAAACCCTGGAAGTTAAAATAATTAACATGAAATATGGAGATATGGAATCCAAATAAAATAAGTTTATGATTAGGAGTATTTGCTATAATGTGTAAAAATCAGAATTCAGAAGATTTAAAGTTACAGAAGAGCTATATGCATGTCGTAGTATATGAATCAAAACAGATGTCAAAATTCTAAGTTAGTCTGATATCCCAGGGCAGGCACTGTATGAGCAGGACACCTACAGTAGAACCTAAGAGTTATGAACTGACCAGTCAATCACACACCTTATTTGGAACAGGAAGTACACAATCAGGCAGCAGTAGAGGGGAAAACAAAAAAAAAATCCCCCAACAAATACAGTAAACTACTCAAAAAATAAAGGGAAAGCAGCATTTTTCTTCTGCATAGTAAAGTTTCAAAGCTGTATTAAGTCAATGTTCAATTGTAAACTTTTGAAAGAACAACCATAATGTTTTGTTCAGAGTTACAAACTACCTCCATTCCCAACATGTTCTTAACTCTGAGGTTCTACTGTATTTTGGAATAGCACATGCCCCCTGCACCTGGCAGTATGTAGCTTTCTGTTGAGTGGGGGAAGGGAGAGTAATGCCTTGTCTACACTATGAAATTACTCCAATTTTAAAGAAGTCGATTTTTGGGAACAGATTGTATAAAGTCGAGTGCATGCATCCACACTAAACATAATTCGGCAGTGTGCGTCCACAGTACCGTGGCAAGTGTCGACATTCCGAGTGGTGCACTGTGGGTAGCTATCCCACAGTTCCCACAGTCCCCGCTGCCCGTTCGAATACTGGGCTGAGCTCCCAGTGCCTGATGGGGCCAAAAATTTGTTGTGGGTGCTTATGGGTAAATGTCGTCAGTCAACCCTCCCTCCGTGAAAGCAACGGCAGACTATCATTTTGCGCCCTTTTCCCTGGATTGCCTGAGCAGACGCCATAGCATGGCAAGCATGGAGCCCGTTCAGATCACCGCAGCAGTTATGACCATTGTAAACACCTCACGCATTATCGTGCAGTTTATGCAGAACCTGAAAAACCAGGCAAGGAGGCGATGGCAGCGCGGTGACGAGAGCGATGAGGCCAAAGACACAGATTTCTCTAAAACCGCGGTCCCCGACAATTTGCAGATCATGGTGTTAATGGGGAAGGCTCATGCCGTGGAATGCCGATTCTGGGCCTGAGCAACAAGCACAGAGTGGTGGGAGCGCATAGTGTTGCAGGTTTGGGATGATTCCCAGTGGCTCCGAAACTTTCACATGCGTAAGGGCACTTTCATGGAACTTTGTGACTTGCTTTCCCCTGCCTTGAAGCGCAAGAATACCAAGATGAGAGCAGCCCTCGCAGTTGAGAAGCGAGTAGCAATAGCCCTGTGGAAGCTTGCAACGCCAGACAGCTACCAGTCACTCGGGAATCAATTTGGAGTGGGCAAATCTACTGTGGGGGTTGCTGTGATGCAAGCAGCCAACGCAACCATTGAGCTGCTGCTATCAAAGGTAGTGACTCTGGGAAATGTGCAGGTCACAGTAGATGGTTTTGCTGCAATGGGATTCCCTAACTGTGGTGGGGCTATAGACGGAACACATATCCCTATCTTGGGACCGGACCACCAGGGCAGCCAGTACATAGACTGGTGGATCACAAGGGATGTTTCACCAACATCAACGTGGGATGGCCAGGAAAGGTTCATGACGCTCATGTCTTCAGGAACTCTGGTCTGTTTAAACGGCTGCAGGAAGGCATTTACTTCCCAGACAAGAAAATAACTGTTGGCGATGTTGAAATGCCTACAGTTATCCTTGGGGACCCAGCCTACCCCTTAATACCCTGGCTCATGAAGCCATACACAGGCACCCTGGACAGTAGTCAGGAGCTGTTCAACTATAGGCTGAGCAAGTCCAGAACGATGGTAGAGTGTGCATTTGGACGTTTAAGGGGTCGCTGGCACAGTTTACTGACTCGCTCAGACCTCAGCGAAACCAGTATTCCCATTGTTATTGCTGCTTGCTGTGTGCTCCACAATCTCTGTGAGAGTAAGGGGGGAGACATTTATGGCGTGGTGGGAGGCTGAGGCAAATCTGAATACGCTGAATACACGCAGCCAGACACCAAGGCAATTAGAAGAGCACAGCAGGAAGCGCTGCGCATCAGAGAAGCTTTGAAAACCCGTTTCATGACTGGCCAGGGTACCATGTGACACTTCTGTTTGTTTCTTCTTGATGGAAACCCACCCCCTTGGTTGACTAATTCCCTGTAAGCCACCCGCCCTCCCCCCCTTCGATCACAGCTTGATTGCAAAGGAAATAAAGTCACTATCATTTAAAAACCATATATTCTTTATTAATTGGGTATAAAAATAGGGATATAACTCACAAGGTAGCCTGGGTGGGGTGTGGGAGGAGGGTAGAAGGGAAGGAAAACGTCACTTCAAAACTTGTTGAATGACAGCCTTCTATTGCTTGGGCTGTCCACTGCGGTGGAGTGGTTGGGTACCCAGAGCCTCCCCTCCCATGTTCTTGGGCATCTGGGTGAGGAGGCTATGGAACTTGGGGAGGAGGCAGGGCAGTTAAACAGGGGCTGCAGCGGCAGTCTGTGATCCTGCTGCCGTTCCTGAACCTCCAACAGACGCCGGAGCATGTCCTTTTGATCCCGCAGTAGCCCCAGCGTTGCATCCTGCCTCCTCTGATCTTCCTGCCACCACCTCTCATCTCGATCGTCCCTCCTGTCCTCACGTTCATTGGCCGCTTTTCTGTACTGTGCTACTGTGTCCCTCCACACATTCTGCTGAGCTCTGTCAGTGCCGGATGACTGCATGAGCTCAAAGAACATTTAATCACACGTGCATTTTTTTCGCCGCCTTATCTGAGATACCCTTTGGGACGGAGGAGGGAGGCTTGAAACATTTGCAGCTGCGGGAGGAAGAAAAGGGAGTGAAGTATTAAAAAAAGATACATTTTACAGAACAATAGCTATACTCTTTCATAGTGAACAACACTATTCACATTACATAGCACATGTGATTTCGGTACAAGGTCACATTTTGCATCGTATACTGAGTGCCTGTGGCTTTGGTGTTAGAGATCACACACACGCAGTGCCGGGCAACAGAATTTGGCTTACAGGTGGCCGTGATAAGCCATAGTCTTTCGGCTTCTGCAACCTTCATAACAGCAGCGCCCTCCTTTCCCATATCAAGCAAAGCCTGTTGAGTTGGCCACTTGGTGCTGCGGTTTTCATGTTAACTTGCAGCAGCAGAAACCAAACTAACCCCCCTGCCGTCAATCCAATTCTCTGGGATGATCGCTTACCCCTCCCCCCACCGCGTGGCTGGTATCAGGGAAGATCACTGCTAGCCAAACGTGAACAGCTCAGCGCCAATGCCCTCCCTCTCCCCCTACACCTCTTGGCTAACTGCGGAGGAGGATTTCTTTTCAGTCACAGGCTAATAGCCCAGTAGGAACTGCCACCTCTGAATGTCCCCTTAATTAAATTCTCGTATTTCAACTAGGTTACCATGAACGATATCACTCTCCTGAGGATAACACAGAGAGATAAAGAATGGATGTTGCTTGAATGCCAACAAACACCGGGACCATACGCTGCCAGGTTTTGTCATGCAATGATACCAGATTACTTGCTACTAGCATGGCGTGGTAAAGTGTCCTTCATGGTAGGACAAAATAAAGCTGCTCTCCCCAGAAATCTTCTGCAAAGGCTTTTAGAGTACCTCCAGGACAACTTCATGAAGATGTCCCTGGAGGATTTCTGCTCCATCCCCAGACACGTTAACAGACTTTTCCAATAGCTGTACTGGCCACGAATGCATCCCAAGTCCTCAGGGAAAATTAATTATTAAAAAACACTTGCTTTTAAAACATGCATTATATTTAAAAAGCTACACTCACCAGAGGTCCCTTCTCTGGCTTGGTTGGGTTGGGAGGGTATTTCAGTCAGGGTAATAAAAAGATCCTGGCTGTCGGGGAAAACGGTGTGCTGTGTGCTCTCCTCAAGCTCGTCCTCCTCCTCATCTTCCCTGTCCACAAAATCCTCAGGCATGGCGGAGAGTACCCCATCATCGAAGTCCACGGACAGGAGTGGGGTAGTCGTGGCGGCCCTCCCTAGAATTGCATGCAGCTCAGCATAGAAGCAGCATGTCTGGGGCTCTGTCCCGGAGTATCCGTTTGATTCTCTGGTTTTCTGGTACACTTGTCTGAGCTCCTTAAGTTTCACGTGGCACTGTGTTGCATCCCTGCTGTAGCCTCTGTCCATCATGGCCTTGGAGATTTTTTGAAATGTTTTGGCATTTCATCTTTTGGAATGTAGTTCTGATAGCACAGATCCGTCTCCCCATACAGCAATCAGATCCAGTACCTCCCGTTCGGTCCATGCTGGAGCTCTTTTTCGATTCTGGGACTGCATGGTTACCTGTGCTGATGAGCTCTGCATGGTCACCTCTGCTGATGAGCTCGCCTGGCCAAACAGGAAATGAGATTCAAAAGTTCCCGGGGCTTTTCCTGTACACCTGGCCAGTGCATCCGAATTCAGAGTGCTGTCCAGAGCGGTTACAATGGTGCACTGTGGGATAGCTCCCGGAGGCCAATACCGTCAGATTGCATCCACACTAACCCTAATTTGAAACAGCGATGTCGATTTCAGCGCCCATCCCCTCATCAGGGAGGAGTACAAAAATCAATTTTAAGAGCTCTTTATGTCGACAAAAATGGCTTCATTGTGTGGACGGGTGCAGGGTTAATTCGATGTAATGCTGCTAAATTCGACAAACTCGTAGTGTAAACCAGGCCTAAGCTACCACAGCAGAGTGATGCAGGGGGATAGAGAGACAGCAAAAAACATGGGGGGGGCCCAGAGTGAAAAAACAAAAGGAAAAGACAGACAACTACCTTTCATCTTCAAAGCACTCTGCAAACTTCTTAAACCTCACTTCACACTTGTCAGGTGCATAAGGATTTTACATACATTATAACATAGAGGTTAAGAGATCTAAGGCAACAGAAGGAATTAGTGTCAGAGTTGAGATTAGAGTTCAGAAGTTTCTGGCCCCTAGTACCAATTTTAGAGAACTAGGAGCACTGGATGAGGAGAAAGTCATTTTGATTAAAGTATAACAAACTAAATTTTTCAAACCAGAGAGAGAAAGTTAGGCCTCAAAATACATATTCTACCATACTCCCATATAATGGGGTCTACTCATTCTCTGGAACATTGGTATTTAACACATTTTATGAAAAGAAAAGTTTCCATAATGACAAGGTCTTTCATAAGATAAGTGATCCTATTGACTCTCAGGCAGCATGATGAATTTATTAGTAATACTGGACCACAACATATAAAAGCTGTGTTAAACATGTACCTGTCTCTCACAATAAGCCTTCATTAGTTTGCTTAGGGGTGTATGCCTTTTTATTTTGAACTGCACCACGGATCCATCCTGGCCAGCTACTTTTAGATTGATATGGTCATTCTCTGTTTTTACTCCTTCCTGCAAAACAAAATGTAAAGATGGACATCACTATTTAGGAATAAAAGTTACCCTAAGAATCTGGAAAAGACTGATAGTACTTCAGCAAACTGTTGCAAAACAAGCATTCCTTCCTATGTATAAAGGTTTGATGTTCTCCACAGCACACAAAGGAAAAAAACCTGAAGTTTTGTGTTTGCCTCTGAGACTTGCAGGCAAAGAGGTAAAAGCAAGAAACTTTAGAACAAATTACTAAAAACTGAACAAATTCCAACATGTACATCTGCAAACTCAGACCATCCTGAGGGGAAAGTTAGTAGATTATTTATACTCAATGGCAAAACACTAAATTAATACAGAGTTAAGGCTGCTTGATATGTCATGCAGAACATTGAGTTGAGCAAAACTCAAACGTCTGAAAACCAGGAAATGCATAGTTAAGTGTTCATGGGCAACCTTAACTTTGCTCTCTTTCAGTAATGCCCCAATACGCCCCATTAACACACATACCTTTACTTTGCCAACCACACAGCTGCTGAAATTACTCCAGGAGGGGGATTCTCCACCTCTGCGAAAGCACAGAATTCATATGGCCTGCATTTTTCTGTGCCCCCTGCACAGAAAAATGAAAAAAAAAAAAAAATCTGCTGGGGGACACACCCCTCTTCCAGCATGCCTGAAGCAGCCTCAGAGACGGGGGAGGGAAGCTGGGCGTGCGTGCCTTGGTGATCACCATTGGGAGTGTCTGGGGGGCAGGGAGCAGGGCTGGGCATACGTGCGTGCCAACAAGCGAGAGAGATACTCTGTCCCTCTCTCTTGCAACTGCAGCTCCCTGGCGTGTAAGGGTAGGGCTTTTTATTATGCAGGAAGAACGCTAGAGGCACAAATGAAGCAGCCTGCCTGAGGGCTTGTCTACACTGCCACTTTACAGTGCTGCAATTTTCTCGCTCAGGCGTGTGAAAACACCCCCCCCCCCCCCGAGCACTGCAAGTTTCAGCGCTGTAAAGTGCCAGTGTAGACAGGGCTCCCAGCGCTGGGAGCTATTCCCCTCGTGGAGGTGGGTTTTTTGAGTGTTGGGAAAGCCCCCTCCCAGCACTATGCCGCGACTACACAAGCCACATTAAAGCAGTGCTGCAGCAATGCTTTAACATTGCCAGTGAAGACTTTCCCTGAGTTAAGTGATCTCATTCGCTGAGGCACAGATGTAGCAGCCTGACTGTGTAGCAAAGTTGTTAAAGTTGCTATTGATGGTTAATTGACCTCATTCTCGGAGGCAGAAATTGTTCCTATTGTTAATCAACTGTTCCCATTCTCAGTCAGTTCTCCCAGGAGCATAAAATTTGTGAAAGTTTTAAGGCCAGAGTGATGTAAAGGAGTCTTATTATAAATGATAGTAAGGGGATCCTCAGCTAGGAAGATCTCTCACTTTTTTTCTGTGCCAAAGTGGCACAGTGGGGGTTAGATTACAGTTCAGGATTTATTTAAATGGGTAAGTAAAAGACTTTGAAGGCAATAAAACATTTACCAAGCAGTCAATAAAGGGCCCGTCTACACTGGCAAGTTTCTGCGCAGTAAAGCAGCTTTCTGCCCTGTAACTCCTGAGGTGCACACACTGCCAAGTCACTTAGTGCGCAGAAACTGCGCAGTTGTAGCACTCTAAAAAAACCAGCCCGACGAGAGGCGTAGAGCTTTCTGCACCGGGGCTACAGGACTGCAGTGCCAGTGTAGACACCGTGGCAACTACAGCGCTGTGACTGACCTCTGGGAGGTGTCCCACAATACCTCCTCGCCTCTCTGGTCATCGATTTGAACTCTACTGACCTGCCCTCAGGTGACCAACCGTCATCCCCACCCCATACATTGCAAATTTGAAAGTCCCCTTCCTCTTTCCTCGGTGATATATACAGTGGTCTCAGTGCATCTTTCCAGGTAGCCATGCCTGCTCCACGCACCAGGCGATCCCCCACTTGGAGCAATGCCAAGCTCCTGGACCTCATTGGCATTTGGGGAGAGGAAGTGGTGCAGTCATAACTGCGCTCCAGCCGTAGGAATTAGGATACCTACAGACAGATTTCATGATGCATGACAGAAAGGGGCTATGACTGGGACACATTGCAGTATAGGGTAAAAGTGAAGGAGCTGCGGAATGCCTACCATAAGGCATGGGAGGCAAACCGCTGCTCCAGTGCTGCGCCCACAAGCTGCTGGTTCTACAAAGGAAGCTGGACGCAATAGTCAGTGGTGACCCCATCTCCATTGCAAAGGCCCCTGCGGATACTTCATTGGCTCATGTGCCATTCGAGAGTGGATTGAGCCAGGACGAGGAAATCTTGGATGAAGAGGGGGAGGGGGACCCAGAGGCAGAGGATGGCTTGGAGGCCAGAGATGCATGCAGTCAGGTTTTCTTTTCTACTCCGGAAGAGCCTAGCTAGTCACAGCAGTTGATCGTGGCAAAGCGGAAAGAAGAGAGGAGGCCCCTGGTAAGTGGATCTGATTTTGAGAATTGCTGAAGCAATTACCGGGGGCAGGAGGGTTGCAGAAAGCAGGCTTGTCTCCCACTGCATGCCTATTCTGAGCAGCAGAACAGGCTCACCGTGGCCCTGTGGTTACTCACCATTTTGGGGGTCTTGTGGCTCATGTGTGCTTGCCTGGGGTCAGCCAGTTAGTGACAGGTGTGCGAGTACTGGCTGTGTTTTAAAGCACTGAATCAGTGTTGTCTGTGTTGCAAAAAATGCTGCTTCTGTAAAATGTTGTATTTAAACTTCACAGAGATGACCTTGAGAGGCCAGCCTCCCTTATCGGTGGCAGAATGGCTGTGCAGAATTAGAAAGTGGCCACGAAGAACTAAGGAGGACTTTCTCCATGAGGTTATGATGCATTCTGCCGCTGAGAAACAGGAATTGAAGGAGTAGCGGGACAGCGAGAAGAGGGACGGAAAGGGAACGCAGCACACCAGAAAGAAGCCATGGAGCGGCTTTTAAACCTTATGGAGTGCCAAGTGGACATGCTCCAGGTGATACTAGCTCTTCAAACCAAGCAGCTCCGTGCCTGCCCTCCCCTGCAGCCGCTGTTACAAAACTCTTTCCCATGCCTCCCCCCCCACAACCCACACTGCCAACACACTTATCAACCTCCTGGCTCCACTCTCTACCCACAGCATTCCACTCCTCACAGTCCAGCAGTGTGGACTCCCACTACCCACTGCACTCAACACCCATCCCTCTGCAGTTTGGCCCTGCTGAAGTACAGCACCCGCTGCATTGGACTCCAAAGGAGAAGGCTGGGTATGATCCCTGGACATACACAAATCTGTAGCCATCCCGGGACCCCTTCTCCTCTGGAGACCTTCCCTTCCACCTTCCCCCACCCCCCTTCCTGTTGACGTATTTTTGTCATTTGACTCTCTCCTCTGGTTGTTGTCTTTTAATAAAAGAACCATGTTGGTTTGAAAGCAATCTTTATTCTATTAAGTGAAAGCAAAAAGAGCACTGCAAAGCAACATGCAATTATGTTAAACCCCCTTATTGCATCATGTGCACCAGTCACCTCCTAGCATTACAAGCACTGCAATCCCAAGCATAGCAGCAAATATTAGTGACTTTCAGCTTCAAATTGCTGCCTCAAGGCATCCCTCATCCTTATGGCCCCGTGCTGTGCCCCTCTAATAGCCCTGGTCTCTGGCTGTTCAAACTCAGCCTCCAGGCGCTAAACCTCTGCGGTCCAGCCCCGATTTGAGCTTTCACCCTTCCCTTCACAAATATTATGGAACGTACAGCACGCAGCTATAAGCATAGGAATATTGTCATCAGCCATGTCCAGCTTCCCATACAGGCATTGCCAGCAGGCTTTTAAACGGCCAAATGCACACTCCAGTCATTCTGCACTTGCTCAGCCTGTTATTGAACTGCTCCTTGCTGCTGTCAAGTTGCCCCATGTACAGTTTCATAAGCCACGGCATTAAAGGGTAGGCCAGGTCTCCCAGGATCATAATGGGCATTTCAACTTCCCCTATGGCAGTGGTTCCCAAACTGGGGTTCGAGAACCCCTGGAGGTCCGTGAAATGTTACAGAGGGTTCTCGGGGGAAAATTCCCTAATGGCGGACAGAGCTGTCCCTAGTGACCTCAGGCAGCACGGGGCCAGCAGCCCGTAGCCCCTGGACTTCCAAGAGCTAAGCAGATCAAAGCAAGCATATTTATCACACTGAGGAGATTTAAACTTCAAGACTCCTTATAAAACAGGGAGGTGGATATTTTAAAAATTAAATAGGCAGCTAGTATTGTTTTTAAAATTATGATGAAGAACAAGTTTAAGCTTTGTTGTACTGGACTGCTCAAGACCTGAATGCTTGTGTCGGAGGAACTCTTTGAGTTGGCGTCTTAAATACCTTCATACTGTTTCACATCTGATACTCCTTGATAAAACATAGGAGCCTTTTCTTATAACAGACTTTTCAAAGTGATATAAGCTACAAAAGCGAGATCTTGGATGAGTGTTGCCGCTTTCATAATGTAATAAAAATACTGTAATAAGTAATTAATAATAAATAGTGTGTAATAAGCATGTCATAAAAATAAATTTTATATTTCCAAGATCACTGCTTTTATAATTTATTCTCAGATAAAGGAGAAAATCCCTGGAAATATTCATTTTTAGGAGGGGGTTCGCAAGACTTGACATTTTAGTAAAGGGGTTCACAGGTTGTTAAAGTTTGGGAACCACTGCCCTACAGTGATCTTCTGGTCCAGGAAGAAAGTCCCTGCTTGCAGCTTCCTGCACAAGCCAGTGTTCCAAAAGATGCATGCGTCATGCACCTTTCTGGACCAGCCTGCATGAATGTCCATGAAACACCCATGGTGACCCACAAGCACCTGGAGAACCATTAAGAAATACCCCTTGTGATTAATGTACTTGGTGGCTATGTGATCTGGTGCCAGAATTGGAATGTGAGTGCCATCTATCACCCCTCCACAGTTAGGGAAGCCCATTTATACAAAGTCATCCACAATGTCACGCACGTTGCCCAGAGTCATGGTCTTTCGGAGCAGGATGCGATAGATGGCCCTGCAAACTTCCATCAACACGACTCCAACGGTCGACTTTCCCACTCCAAACTGGTTAGTGACAGATCAGTAGCAGTCTGGAGTAGCCAGCTTCCACAGTACAATTGCCACACGCTTCTCCAATGACAGGGCAGCTCTCATTCTTGTGTCCTTGTGCCGCAGAGCTGGGGCGAGTTCCTCATAAAATCCCATGAATGTGGCTTTCTTCATGCGAAAGTTCTGCAGCCACTGCTCATCATCCCAGACATGAATCACAATGCGATCCAACCACTCAGTGCTTGTTTCCCGAGTCCAAAAGCGGTGTTCCACTTTGGTCAGCACCTCCGTGAATGCCACAAGCAATCTCTTGTTGTAGCTACTACGTATGGCAAGATCAACTTCGTATTCCTCTTGCCTTTGTAGTTTAAGGAATAACTCCACTGTCACTTGTGACGTGTTGGTCAGAGCGAGCAGCTTACTGGTCAGCAGTTAGGGATCCATTCTTGCAACCTGAAAGAGGCAGGGCACGCCGTACAGAAACCATTGAAAGATAATGCCAAACATGGACAGAAGCACAGGGATTGCTGGGATGCGAAGCAACGCATCAAGGGGCATTGGGACTGGACCAAGGATGCTCCGTGTTCCCACAAGTCTTAGTTGCAAAAGAGAAAGAGGGTGCTCTGTGGGATAGCTGCCCAGAGTGCACTATTCCAAATAGCGCTGCAAGTGTGAACACGCTATTGCGCAGGCAGCTGTCAGTGTGAACACACAACAGCGGTTTTCCTTCTGCGCTCTCTGACCGGCGCTGTAACTTTGCCAGTGTAGACGTGCCCAAAATGTCAGGAAAATCAGAACCAAGCACTTCCCAAAGTACCCAGCCAGGTCCAGGACAATGATTAGCAAAACGGTATGACTTTCATGTGTGAAAGTCTCAGCAATTTAAAATGACATTCTACTTTTATAAAAAAAATTTTTTTGCTGTTTGGTGTTCTGAAATCTAATTTAAATTAAATCCAGGATTATAATTGGAATGCCTGGTATTAGTTACCAACTGTTTACAACTTACCTTCCATGTGTTTGGGAAATGCTGAATAGTTATTGTGACTTTTTTCTGTATTGTAATTTAAATAAATTACTAAAACAATTGAAACTGGTGTGATTATACTGCATTATTTTGACAAATAAAATATGCAGAATTTTGAATTTTTTGGTGCAGAATCCCCCCAGGAGTAAGAAATGTACAAGCTCTTCACCTCCTTTTACAACCCATTCACTCTCATGCCCAGGATTCCAACTAACACTGTTAAAGGACACGCCCCCCCCCCCCCCAAAGTTGCTCTGAACCCACTCAGGCCTCTGTCCCTGGCTCTTCCCCCACTGGATAAAACATAAAAATTTGTTTAGACCGGCTACTGACTATCCTACTGTGTTCACAGTAAGCCTCCCCATAATATATAAATCTGCTATAACACAGACAGCTTCTACCAAGCAAAATGAGTTATTAAATCTTTATTGCACAGGTGTACAAAGGTTCAGACTAAAAATGTCATTGGTGGGGTGTTCACCAGAGGCAATGGCATTAGCGCATTCTCTCAGCCTACCCAGACAAGCATAAGTGGCTGCACAGAAACCCTCTTGGTTTTGTTCTTTATTGGCACATGCACATTGTGCTCCTTCCAGGTTGCACATCTATGCAAGCAAAGAAGTGAATGTGTTCTTAAATACTGTTCACAGCTTGGGTCTCCCAAAGACTTAGTAGATGCCACGCACTACCTTGGGTAACAATTGACTGACCAACAGACTATTCTGAGCTGCATCACAGCAATAATTTTATCAGTAGCTCTGCACAAACACACACACACAGCCAGAATTTCCCATTGTCTCCCTCATGCCCGTGGCTGTGCAGACACTCCTTATTCTGAGCATAACCCTGTATACCACTGAAATAAATTTCCTTACTTATCAAACAAGTCAAAATAAAGACTCAATCACAACGGAATAAAAATTATTGCTCTAACTAGATCTGGTACCTTGCAATCCATTGCTATGGAGTACAGAGGATGCAGTAATATGTCCAAAGCACTTAATCTCTCTCTCTCAGATTCTAATCCCTCTTTTCCTCTCCTCCCCATGCAATCTGAATTCCGGTGAATTACGTGAAACAGGTAAATGTCCCATTAGTGGATATCCAGGATTTGTTTTGGGCTGCTATGTTATGTCTAGCTGTCTGCAAGTCTCTAAAAGTGTAAGAGAAATTTTGTACACCCTTTTCTAAAGTTTACTTTAGAGAGACATTTGTTTGACTATTTCAAGTAGGAGCAGCTGTTAGATGGGGGTCCCCTGGAGTGGGTGAGGAATATCTTGAATTCCAGGTCCTCAGCCTTTAACTGCCCATCAAACGCCTTCGGGAAGGCAATGGTTATCCCTCAAGGACAGACACCATGCTTAGCAATAAGACAATGCTTTATGGGAGCCTGTATGTCCCAGTCAAGAGAAAGGAGTAGATCCCACATAAATATTATGCAAAGACCTTTTCCCCCTACAACAACACTAAGCTTGGCACAATTTAATACATTTTCAGTTTTACGGTGGTGCTGCAAGGGCCTCCCTGAACAGCTGCGAGGTACTGAATCCCTGCAGGAGCAAGGTATAGAGAGGACTATGGTCCCGGCAGGGCAGAGCAGTGACCCCCTCAGCCTGGATTGCAAGGTCAATGAGTTCCCAGCCACAGGGGAGGCCACCATGCTACTGAATGACTCCTGCTAGGGGAAGGCCACCGCATCCCCAGACAGTAAGTGAGCAGGACTGTGGCAACAGCGTCGCAGAGGGCTCCCTGTGCAGCCACAGGAACAGTGCAGAGAGGCCAAAAGATTTTTGTTGTCAATTTCAGTGCATCAGGCAAAATCCACATTTACTAGGAACTAACAAACAATTTAAATCGAATCCTACCAAGCCTAAATAATACAATGCACCCAGTACTGCATGCCTAGGTAAACAAATTAATGCTGTCTACCCTGCACAGAATCCCCAGCCATGCAACTTGCCACCTCTGAGTTCTGGAGCAAAGAACTCCAGATGATTGGACTAGATGACCTTCTAGGGGGCAGGGTTAGCTCAGTGGTTTGAGCATTGGCCTGCTAAACCCAGGGTTGTGAGTTCAATCCTTGAGGGGGCCATTTAGGGATCTGGGGCAAAAATTGGAGATTGGTCCTGCTTTGAGCAGGGGGTTGGACTAGATGACCTCCTGAGGTCCCTTCCAACCCTGATGGTCTATGATTCTGAGATCTCTTCCAACCCTAATCTTCTATGATTCTATGAGTTATGAGCTTGGGTTGCTGCTCCTTGGTCCTGATGCAACTTTTCTGGGAGGGAGGCAGGAGGAGGAAGGTGGGGGGCGATGGAGGAACTCCTCAGTAAATCAAAGTTTATAACGTGGCCCACTCAGCCTGTGCTAAGGCTCACAACTACTTCAAATGTGAAAGTTAAGCGTCACATTCCTTTATGACATGAATTTCAGTGAAATAACTGTCATTCACTGAGTTATCCCACTGTCCTCAAACTCTGAATTGAACATGCTTGCCTACACAGGTGCATAATAGACCGCAAGCACTTTAATTGCTGAACAATTATTGTGACGCTCTGTACCTCAGGGGAACACCTTACACCCCCATGTTCATCTTTATAAAATAATTATGTGGTATCCAATGCAAAGTTTGTCATGTTGGGTGTCTTCGGAAGGCTCATAATGCTCTGAGCATGGTTGTTATAGTGATGTTATAGTAATTATTACAGTACGGTTATAGGTTATAATTTTATGTATATAGTTATGAGGCTAAAAATGTATCCTCATGGCTTAAAGCAAGCCCATGCAAAAACTCTCCAAGAACAAAAAGAAAAGGAGTACTTGTGGCACCTTAGAGACTAACCAATTTATTTGAGCATGAGCTTTCGTGAGCTACAGCTCACTTCATCGGATGCTCATGAAAGCTCATGCTCAAATAAATTGGTTAGTCTCTAAGGTGCCACAAGTACTCCTTTTCTTTTTGCAAATACAGACTAACACGGCTGTTACTCTGAAACATCTCCAAGAACAGAGACAGTTCACACCTCATTAGGGCGTGGATAGGACAAACCCAGCCCAGCCTCACAGAAACAACTGACACTGTCTTAGGCAGCAACAAAAGAATCTGTTAGACCCTCGAGGGAGCCACCCCCTTCCTTTGGGCAGTTTGGGACTGCGATGAGGTAATGCTCACCTGACTCTGAAAGGGGGTGGGGGGGGGGCAAAGCCAAGAGGAAAGAAAGGACATGATACAAGGCAGAGACAGGTTTCAGAGGAACAGCCGTGTTAGTCTGTATTCGCAAAAAGAAAAGGATGCCACAAGTACTCCTTTTCTTTAAGGCAGAGACATTTTGCCGTGCTCTCTCTCTTTCACCTACAGACTGAAGCGCTGATCAAAGGGGAGAGAGCCAGCCTGTGGTGAGAAGCATCTAAATTTTTAAGGACACAAAGTGTTAAGAACAGTTTAGAATGCATTTTGCATTTATTTCATTTGACCAAATCTAACTTGTTATGCTTTGACTTATAATCACTTAAATATACCTTTACAGTTAATAAATCTGTTTGTTTATTCTACCTGAAGCGATGCATTTGGTTTGAGGCGTGTCAAAGACTCCCCTGGGGAGTACAAGCCTGGTACATATCCTTTTCTTTGTTAAATTGACAAACTTATATAAGCTTGCAGCGTCCAACAGGCATAACTGGACACTGCAAGACAGAGGTTCCCAGGGTTGTGTCTGGGACCAGAGATATTGGCTAGTCATTCGCTTGCAAGTAGCTGGGAGCAGCTTACATGCCAGAGGCTGTGTGTGAACAGCCCAGGAGTGGGAGTTCTCACAGCAGAGCAGGGTAAGGCTGGCTCCCAGAGTCAAGGATTGGAGAGGCCTAGCAGATCACTGGTCCAGATAATACCCAAGGGGAACGTCACAGTCATTTATTACAAACCAACTATATACAAGCATATACCGGGTGGGGGGGGAGGGATAGCTCAGTGGTTTGAGCATTGGCCTGCTAAACCCAGGGTTGTGAGTTCAATCCCTGAGGGGGCCATTTAGGGATATGGGGCAAAAATTGGTCGGATGATTTAATTGAGGATTAGTCCTGCTTTGAGTAGGGGGTTGGACTAGATGATCTCCTGAGGTCCCTTCCAACCCTGATATTCTAGGATTCTAAACAAACATTTAAAACTCTGTTAAATCTAAAAAAAAAAAAAAAAATAATGCAACCACCTACACAGTCATTCTCAAAAGTGCTGAAACATGCGTAAGAAAGTACTGATCATACATCCTAAAACCCTCTGTACATTTGAAAAATCCTTTCTGACCCTTGTGCGAGAGATGTACCCCAACTACAAGAAACAGTGAGGTGTCAGACCTTGTAAATATTTCTGTCACACAATACAAAATTTTCAATTAGCCATGAACCCTCCAATTTCCCAATTAATGTTCTTCCAACACTTATTAATAGCTTTCATATTGTCACTGTAGTGATTATTCAGAGGCTCAGCCAAATTAAAGGAAACTATCACAGCTCCTGGGCACAAGTCACTGATGCAGTCCAAATCTGCACTCATACATTGTGTTAGCAGTACACCAGGAATAAGGCCCAAATAATTTCTGCCTCACTGAATCACCATGTCTGACACATCACAACCTCTTAAGTCACCAGTGAGACACTGCACAGTGGGCAAAACACGATTCCAACCTCTTTTTTCTCTCTCCACACAAATCAACTTGCAATTAGTAATCTCCATGTCATGGTGTACTTACTACTCTCCTGCAAACTTCTCCAACATTGTGATCCAGGAATTGCCCAGAAACCACACATTAGCATCTCTGGCAGCACACATATATTTTTCCTCAGCAATCAAGGTAGCCATGCTGTCAGTTCCAAATCTCTGAGCTATGTTTCTTTGGGGAAAAAAAAAAAAAAAAAAAACATTAATCTGTCCTGAGATCATGAAGTAGCCACCTGGCCTCACCCTTCCCCCAGGGGCTAACAATATACAGATTTTCTCAAAAACAATGAGGAGTCCGGTGACACTTTAAAGACTAACAGATTTATTTGGGCATAAGCTTTCGTGGGTAAAAAACTTCTGTATCTGAAGAAGTACGGTTTTTTACCCACGAAAGCTTATGCCCAAATAAATCTGTTAGTCTTTAAGGTGCCTCTGGACTCCTCATTGTTTTTGTGGATACAGACTAACACGGCTACCCCTCAGATGTTCTCAATCAATCAGAGGGGTACAAAACCTAAACCAGGAGAATATGAAAGAATATTGAAACTTGTGTTGCCTCCATTTACCCCACTCCTTTTTCTGTGTCATCTATTTTGATTGCAAGCTCTGAGGCAGGATTCTGATAAGCACTTAGCAGAAGCAGTTGCAGCAGGTAAAACAACACACTGGAGGAGGGGAAGATGAGCTCCAAGTGAAGCCAACAGGTTCCCTCCCTTTCCCAGCACTCCTTAGACAGAGAACTCCTGCCCCTAGGAACACCAGGCTCTATCCCTCCCCACAACCATGTGGCTCTGGGGAAGCTGCATAGAACCAGCTAAAGTCTCAGCTGGCAACAAACAAAGAAGCAGCTGCAGATGGCATTATCGGACACATGATGATGTCATCTAAAGGTACGTCTACACTGCACACTCCTTTTGGTAGTGTGTAGAGTACATAGACGACATACTCCCCTAGCACTGTTAATAACTAGCACCGTAGATGGACAGGCACTGCTTAGGTCAGTTAACAATATGCCTGAACCCTGCGCGTACCCAACATGGCTCTCTGTTCGCGCAAGCACTACCTGTCCTGCAGCTGCCTCCCCAAAGCTGGGGTCCTTCCCCATGGCAGTGAAAGACTCTGGCAGTAGAGAAGCAGCAGAGCCAAGCCTTTCCGCACTTCCTACCCCTGCCAAAGCCTTCACTGACATGTAGCTACGCTGCAGCGTGGATACAGCTTGCTTTGCACAGCAGTATGTAGTAACACATAACCTACACACCACCACAAGGTGTGTGTAGTGTAGACATAACCTGTTTTCTAGTTTTTCCTTTGGACATTCCTCTGCTGATTAGTTGTTTACTCTACCCCCCTCCCTCATGGTCTCTTCTCTTAAATCTCACTCCATCTGCCCTCCACACTCCCCCCCCCCTTCTGCATTTTCCATCTCCCTTCCTCTTTCTGTTAACCTCAACCCACCTAACAAAACCCACCGGTTTTGTTCAATATCTTCATAAATGATCTGGAGGATGGTGTGGATTGCACTCTCAGCAAATTTGCGGATGATACTAAACTGGGAGGAGTGGTAGATACGCTGGAGGGGAGGGATAGGATACAGAAGGACCTAGACAAATTGGAGGATTGGGCCAAAAGAAATCTGATGAGGTTCAATAAGGATAAGTGCAGGGTCCTGCACTTAGGACGGAAGAACCCAATGCACAGCTACAGACTAGGGACCGAATGGCTAGGCAGCAGTTCTGCGGAAAAGGACCTAGGGGTGACAGTGGACGAGAAGCTGGATATGAGTCAGCAGTGTGCCCTTGTTGCCAAGAAGGCCAATGGCATTTTGGGATGTATAAGTAGGGGCATAGCGAGCAGATCGAGGGACGTGATCGTTCCCCTCTATTCGACATTGGTGAGGCCTCATCTGGAGTACTGTGTCCAGTTTTGGGCCCCACACTTCAAGAAGGATGTGGATAAATTGGAGAGAGTCCAGCGAAGGGCAACAAAAATGATTAGGGGTCTGGAACACATGAGTTATGAGGAGAGGCTGAGGGAGCTGGGATTGTTTCTTCTGCAGAAGAGAAGAATGAGGGGGGATTTGATAGCTGCTTTCAACTACCTGAAAGGGGGTTCCAAAGAGGATGGCTCTAGACTGTTCTCAATGGTAGCAGATGACAGAACGAGGAGTAATGGTCTCAAGTTGCAGTGGGGGAGGTTTAGATTGGATATTAGGAAAAACTTTTTCACTAAGAGGGTGGTGAAACACTGGAATGCGTTACCTAGGGAGGTGGTAGAATCTCCTTCCTTAGAGGTTTTTAAGGTCAGGCTTGACAAAGCCCTGGCTGGGATGATTTAACTGGGAATTGGTCCTGCTTCGAGCAGGGGGTTGGACTAGATGACCTTCTGGGGTCCCTTCCAACCCTGATATTCTATGATTCGATGATTCTAATCACAATGCCCCCCCTCACAAAAAACCTCCAAGGCACTAACATGTTCTCAAACCATCACTGGATTCACCTTATTTGTATTTTATATCCCTTTGCCCTACCCTTTGTCTATTTAGCTTACAAACTTTTAGGGGCCGGGACTATCACTATGTTTGTATATTACCTAGAAAAATGGGATCCCTTTCTCAATTGACATCTAGGTGCTATCACAAAATAAAAATATCTTAGCACATATTTGGGTACTATTATAGTTTTCTAATATTTTTGGAAACTTGAAACAGTCATCTCTTTATTTCCCATCTTTTGTTGGTGTTAAACATTTGAGCCAAACATAACTACTATTAGAAACAAGATAACTTCTGACAGTCAAGACATAATCCTGCCCTTTTCTTTCCTGATAGTCCTGGTATCTACCAAAGGAGAACACAGACGTTTCCATCAAACACAGCCTCACTAGTTCAACCACCTTACCAGATAAGCACCAGATAAATTCAGTTAAGATTTTTAATGAGCAATGACTGTCCTTTAAGTACAGAGAATGCAAAGTACTAATCACGCTCTTCATCTTAAGAATCATACAACTATCAGAAACATTCACCCAAGTTATCAGCAGAAGACAGGTGAGCTCTCCAAGTAAGCCAGTGCCATAGCTCAGGTCAGATCCTCCACTACCAGGTGGAGATTTCACCCTTTCCTTAAAATGGCACACTCCTCCAAACGAGCAGCAGTAAGAAAGAAAGTGATCTTCTCCAAAACAGTCTCTAGAAAAGATTCCAGGTTCTGAAGGGTACAATCCAGAGAGGAAAATATCTATCTGCAGAGCCACAGAAAAGCTATATCAAATATAGCTTGTCAAGTCCAGTCCTCATTGGCCCCTAGATTGATTCTCCCTTCCTTCGTCTCAAGACTGCTTTCAGCACATGAAGTTTCTAACCCCAATAAAAGGAACAAGGACCATTATGGATTTTGTGGACCAAAACTTTAAAAGCACACTGGGGTGCAGCTTTGAATATTTGCCCATTGTCCTACAAAATTACTTTAAATCTCCAGTCTTTGCTCACATGTCTATCATACAGTCCATGTATTACCCTAAATCTAAGGTTGCCTGCAAAAGTCAAGAAAAAGCTAAAGATTTACAAGTTAGCACTCTGCTTCCTGTATAACTATCTACATCATTGCTAGTTTTCCCACTAAAACCCTTCCCTGTTACATTCTAGCTTGCCACAATATGTGGCTTAGAGCTTTGGACACAGACCTCCAAGGACATTCTTAAAATGCACGGATCATGGTAATATCCAAATACTTTCCAGTAGCATGCGAAGTGATGTGACTACACACCTGTCATATATTGTCTCTCATCCTCTCCACGAGGGAGAAGTATGTTCAGGGGAGTACAGTAACTCACTTAAGGTCCTCCCGCTTAACGTTGTTTCAATGTTACGGCTCTGCTCCATTACAGAACATGCTCATTTAAAGTTGTGCAATGCTCCCTTCTAATGTCATTTGGCCACCTGCTTTGTCCACAGCTTGCAGGATTCTCCAGAACAGCAGCGACTTTATGAGACAGCATTGCACAATTTGTAACAAGGTGGGCTGACAGCCCCCCCGTCAGCTCCCCCACACCTCCCCCAGGGCCTCCCATCCGCCAGCACACCCTGCGGATCAGCACCTTCCCCCCGCTCCCCCCTTGAGCAATCAGCTGTCTTGAGGCATTAAAGAGGCTGGGGGAGGAGGAGGAGCAAGGATGCGGCGCGCATCATCCCCCCTCTGCCTCCTGCCCGTGGTAATCAGCTGTTTTGCGGCGTTCAAGGGGAGGAGCAAGGATGCAGCGTGCAACCTCCTCCCTGCCTCCTGCCTGTGGCAATCAGCTGTTTTGCGGTGTTCAGGAGGCTGGAGGACGAAGGGAGGAGCGAGGATGCGGCGTGCTCCGGGGAAGAGGTGAAGCGGGGGTGGGAAGAGGCGGGGCAATGGTGGGGGCATGGGGGAAGGGGTGGAGTGGTCAGGCCCGGGGTTGACCCCCTCCCAAAGGCGGTGCCTGTGCTTTCACAGTAGGGAAAGCTGCCCCTGTTGCTGTACAAGGTGCTTCCTAGTCTACAATGGCACCTTCAGCTGCCTTGTTGTCTGCATGTGGGGTAAGGCAGGGGCACCTCCCAACAACAGTACAGTGCCTGTATTAAATTGCTTATTTAAAATTGTTTAAAAACTTATACTGTCTATGTATATAATGCCTTTTGTCTGGCAAAAAAAATTCCCTGGAACCTAACCCCCCCCTATTTTCATTAATTCTTATGGGAAATTAAATTCGCTTAAAGTTGCATTTTTCAGGAATGCGTTAAGTGAGGAGTTAGTGTCTGCTCCTACATCCACTGCTTTTTTAATATGTGTTGTTAAGTGTTTATAGTAGAGAAGGCAAGGTGAAAGAAATGCACCTTGTACTTGGAACAGAAAGTGGTGAGGCTTGTGGTAGTACTTAGTCGTGGGGGGGTGGGCTGGCTGATTCCAATGTCTCAGACAACCCCTGGAGAAAGCTTGGTCTCCCACACAGACAACCTTTACTCTTATTGTTGAGAGTTCCACTGTGCCAGAGGAGTGGGGTTGTCGACCATGGTCTTCATACCTGAGCTTTAGACAATTTTTTAGATATCCTGGGCCCAGGCTAAAGAGCACTTTGAGACTGAGATCTTGAACTTGATTCTCTAGTCTATGGGAAGCCAGATTAGAGAACAGAATACAGATGTGATGTGCTCATGGTATCCTGTGTTGCTGAGGAGATGGGCTGCAGCCTTCTGCAATAGGAAGAGTTTCCTAAGTTCTGAAGGTTTCACGCCCAGGTATATCATGTTGGTGTAGTCCAGCTGAGAAGTGCCAAAGCCATGAATAACTAAGGCCAGGTCTTTGTCCACCAGGATGGGACAGAGTCTCTTAGCTAGAGATGGAAGAAAGCACTGCTTGCAAATGTTGGATTCCTCACTGATGCTGAGTCTCACTTGCCAAGAGTACTCCTAGACTATGGACTGAACTGACCAATTGAGGGTGTATGTCTCAACTAACGGAAACAGCACCATGACTGCAGGCTTTTCAGGATGCTTTCCTTTGCCCACCAGCCTCACCTCTGTCATTCAAGCTCCCTTTGGTGAGAACACTTTTCAGGGGATCCCCCCAAAAGACACCAACGAATTCCTCAGACTTGAATGAGATCTTGCCCAACCAATCCTCTTTCAGGAACGTAAGGGAAAATTTCAGCTGCCACATCTCTTTTCCTCCACCAGCCAAAAGCCCCTCTGCGGTGTCTTCTCTAGAGAACAAAATCTTTTCAGCCAAGGAACTCACCGTCTTCATAGGAAGACTGAAGAACTTTCTCCTCCTGAACCATACCTCCTGACAGATGTGCTCTGAAGATTATTCACGCAAGTCTTCTCAGTAATTCCCACACCCTTCCTTTTTGGCCTCCTCACCACCCCATAAAGTAACAATCTATTTAAGAATGATTGTTCTAGTTCCAGCCAACAAGAAGTTCTTCAGTTTCTATTCAAGGTTCTTTGTGGATACAAAGAACATGGCATTTCAACTTAAATCTGGTAGTACATAAACCCCATTTCTGCACAGAATCTGTGACTCATCTCATTCAAGAATTATCTCTGAAAAATACCTTCCCTCTGTTAATCTCAAAGAGACCTACCTTTAAATTCTGTTTAGTTCAGCTCACCCGTGTTATATTTACTTCACAATTGAGGACAACTGATTGTGGTAAGTAATGCCCTTTGGTCTCTTCTACTCACATTTTCATAGAGATGACAGTCATAGCAATAGCGAGTCTGAAACAAGGCAGCATCCAGAATTATCAATATATGGACAACCTGCAGTGAGGACTCAATCATACTAAACTGCTTTTCTTAATACCCAAAGAACTATCAAGGTCCTGGTGAACCACAATTTTGTTTTTAACCCTGAGCAAGAAACTCAGAAGCTTCCACACATTTCAGAATCAAAGAACTTAGTAAGTACCCACTGGCCATGCCTCCACTAAAGAGGCACAGGTGGAGCCTGTATCAAGTACGTTCCCTGGGCACTGCTGGGACTACTAGGAAGAGGCTGGCTCATCAACTGATCCCACCTCTATCGGTTCAGCTTTCCATCCTCTGGTAAAATCTTTTCTTCTTCAGTGACAAGCCCCTAAATGGCAATATAGCGGTCATGTGGTTTTCCAGATAAAGAAGTGGCAAGTTCACTTTTCCAATTGTTAATATTCTATGTTTTGTAGATGTATAGTAGCTGTTTGTAAAATTGGTTATATTTCTCAAACTAACATTATCGCAATCCCATAACGTCAGGGCACGTCAATGAAAGCATGTCAACTGGCCAAGCTTTGTCGCTTCTCAGCTGGACTAGAGCAATGCAACGTACTTGGGCACGTATTCTTCAGCATTTACCAAACTCCACGAGCAGGGAATGTTGTAATGCGTCTTCCTCAGCAACACAGGCTACTGCTAGCACTTCAAACCCTTCCTCCGCTCACTAGTCGCTGCATACAGATTTTCAAATCAAGGTCAAAGTCTCAGGTCTTATCTTCAAGGCGCTCTGTGGCATGGGCCCAAGAGAGCTAGAAAGGCCGCCTACAGACCCAGGATGAAGACTGCGGTGCACAACTCCGCTCTGGGGCCAGTCTTTAGCACCGTGGAATGAAGGCCTCCAGAAACCGAGGTCCGTCCTGACCTCACCACTCTCTGCTGCCGGTGCAAGGTGTAGGTCTTTGACCTGCCTTCTTAACCACGAAGCCCCAGGTCCATTAAAACAGGCCCTACTCACTACACAACTGCCTCCCCTACGGAGCAACCCCGCAGGCCAGGAGTTAACGCGCTGCCGAGGTGGGCAGCGTGAGCTCAGCGAAGGCGGGGGCGGGGCGAGCCGAGAAGAGCGAAGCGAACCGGACGCTCCCCTGACAGCACCACGTCCGGCGCAGCGCCTCTCGGCGACGTCGCCGCCGACCCCAGGGAGGCCCGACCCGCAGCCAGGCCGCGCTCCCAGCATCCCTCGCGGGACCCCGGGTCTCTCCGCTGCGGGGCGTGGCCGGCGGGCCCCAGAGAGCCTGCGGGGCCCGGGCTGCGCGGCGGGGAGCCCGCCCGGGGCCGGGCGCGGAGGAGCGGCGTGGGCCCAGCGGCCCCGCGCCGCGGCCCCAGCCGTTACCTTGGGCTTCTCCTCGGACATGGCGGCGTCGGACGGGTCCGGCCTGGCGGGAGCGGGGAAGAGGCACAGTCACGCTTTCAGCTCCCGCGTCTCTCCCGCCGGAACTGTCCGCGAGAGCGCGCTTCGCCCCCCAAATCCCCGGCCTCTGATTGGTTCCGGCGGGACCACGTGCCGGTGCGCGCTCACGAGGCGCGCTCGCGAGCAATGCCTCGTCGGGGGCGCGCTTTAGGGGCGGAGGCAGGTAGCGCTGGGAAGTGCGTCATCGGGGAACCGGAAACGGCGGAGGAGGACGCCAACGGGGGGAGGGGCGAAGCAAGTGGTGTTGAGAACGAGGTGGGTAAAGGGGAAGAGGGAGCTCCCCGCAGAACCTGGGGCGAGGGGTGGCACAGAGCCCCATGGGTCAGCTCCTTCCAGAACCTGGGGGATGGGCAAGGGAATGGGGACAGCTCCCCAAAAAGCCCTGGGGGAGGGGCAAAGAGAGCAGGAGAGCTCTCCACAGAACCTATGGGGAGGGGCAGCACAGAGCCCTGGGATCAGCTCCCAGGGAGAGTGGGGGAGGGGCGAAAGGGGCCCTGGTGTTCTATTGCCTGTCAAAGGGCCTGGGGCTGCCACAATCACAACTGCTAGCCAGAAGCACCTTTGCCATGGGGAGGCAGCAAGTAAGGTATGTGGTGGTTTGGGTAGTGGTAGCTCCCCTGTCTGAGACACCCAAAGGTACAAGTACAGATAATGCAATAACAGCTCTGCAATAACACTTTTCACCAGCAGGTTGAGATCAGTATTGTTACCCGCATTTTAAAGATGGGAAAACTGAGGCTGCATAGGGGTATACAAATATTTGGATCCCTATGTGTGTGTGTGCTCATGACTGCCCCCCCGCCCCCGCACACACACCTACATTCATGGAAGTGTATAGCTCTACCCATATGCATAGCTAATGGACACTACATATATGTAGAAATGAACATATACACAGTGATGCAGGTACCTGCATAAACATGTATGACCACATGCACACAGGAAATCAGGCACAAATATGCTGGTACATGAAAAAAAATGAACAAACATATGTGCTCTAAACAGCCATCTTGAAAACCCACATACACACTGAAGCTGTATCCACATCCCAACCTGTGCGCGCACATGAAAGAAAACTTGCACAAAGTATACATACGTTGTTTTCTCCTACATTGCCCAAAAACATAGACATGTGAATGAGCATACATGTATGCATACACAGCTTTGCACATATGCAGATACACAAAACACACAACTGTATATGCTCACAAAAACAAAGGAACCACATACTTGTGCATATACAGCAGTAATATACAGGCATACTAAATGTGTACACATAAATGCCCCGAAACAATTCAGACTCATACACAAAAGCACACATGTTCATGTACAAAAAAACTGCACGTATGTATACATATGTTGGGGGGCTTATTTTCCTAGGAATGGATATGCATAACATGCTAATGCATATACAAGACATGTTAGACATGAGATCAGACTAGATGATCACTATGGTTCCTTCTAGCCATGGAATCTATGAAAAGACTTCATACAAAAATCACACAAATGCATACATAGTATCATACTTATGAATGCATGAGTGCATATATGTATACTCACAACCCCTCATACATACATATGCATGTATGTATATAGATGTGTGCACACCCAAGCAGTAGTTCACACATGTCAATGCAATGTACTTCCCTTGTAGAATTAATATGAGTTACATATAAGGGACAGGGTTAGCAATCCCAGGCTTGCTTACACCATAAATTGCTCTCTTTTGGTGAGGAAGAGAGACTGACTGCTGGTCCCATGACTTTTGTATAGCAGCCAAAGTAATTTCCCACCATCCAGGATCCCAACAGAAATAGTCTTTCTACCTATTTTCTATTAGGAATTACTGCATGTGTACCATATGATTTGCAGCAGTTATTCTTAAAAAGCATTCCTTGAATTGGTACAGCCGCTAGTGATGGGATGACAGAGGTCACCTGCAAACAGGTAAGTTATTTTAGCAATGAAGATAGCTAGGGCCAGACAAGACTGAACCCTAACCAGTACAACAATTTGTAATCAATGGTATAGGAAATCTGTGGTCTTCCAGGTACTCCGCCGTTGTCACTCTGTTGCACAACCTGGCCTCTCAGAACTTCCTGGAGTCAAACTAGAGCTGCCGCTCGAAAAGCACAGGCCCCTACTTCTTGAGATAATTAAGAAACTGAGCAGTAAATGATAACTTAGTGAAACAGTTCTGATTCTCTCCAGTAGAGGACAGTGACACACATACGTTGTATGCAGCATAGTTGTAGCTGCTGGGGTCCCAGGATATTAGAAGTTAGTACAGTAAAAGATATTACCTCACCCATCTTGTCTGTCTAGTGATACACATAAACCATTGTCCCAAGGTTATTTTCATAAGATTTTTTCTCCTGAGCTACCTCCCCCCATTCATAATTATACAAACCACCCCTTCCATTGACTAATAATAAATAATACCTAGCTGTTACGCATCACTTTTCATTCATAAATCTCAAATAACATCTCTTGGGCAACTACAACAGTTTTTATCTAAAAAAGTAATAGGAGGAACATATTTTTAGTGGTCTTTTTATATAATTTAGCAGCAGGAAACAAGGATGGGAACAACCATCTCTCCCTGGACAAATCATGAGGTGCAGTTTGAGAACTTCTGCCACACCCAGTCCATTACAACAAAAAAGAGTAACCTGATAAACTGAAAATCTATTATGGTCTGTTATGTATTCAGTGCTGCTGATAAGAGTCCTGGATTCTGAAGCAGGTGCTCTGTGACTCAGTGATTCCACCACACCTCAACACAGAGAGATCCAAGTCAGGTTTAGTCTAGCTTGTGATTCTAAGCATGTCACTGCTGGAGGGGCTTTTCCCTTCACACAGAAGAGCTCCCAATCTCCCAGAAAACAGTCCTTTAGAACAAGGGGGGTAAAGCCGGTCAGGGAAAGAAAACCAATTTGGAACATGTGCAGGTGATGATGTTGGTCATTGTTTCTAGCTAATGGGTGGTTGCCAGCAAGCAAATGTCTCTTTTTAACTGTGATTGCTAAATCAAAACCCACCCTCCCACCACAATTTCCTTCCTCTTTTCCTGCTAATGTCTGACCTAATGTTTTATTCTTTAGCTTACCTCTGCCTTCTTTCCAATGCTAAATTTACTGCTTTAACGTCTCTGCTTCAGTTACAGAAAGTGTCTTTTTCTTGGAGTTGCCTAACCCGTACTCCCTTTCAGTAGTCTCTCTCTTTTGTCCAGGTCTTTCTGTTCCTACAGAACCTATCCTTTCCATATCCCAACTAGAGCTGGTTGGGAATTTTTGGATGAAATGTTTTTTCGATCAGAAAATGCTGATTCATTGAAACTAAATTTTTTTCACAGAAACATAAGTTTTCTCAGATCCAGGATGGAATCTCTGGTCAAAACCAGAGTGAAAACACAAGAACCCAGAATAGACACTAGCCCAGTGGTTAGGAGCGCTCACCTGGGAGACCCAGTTTCAAGATCTTGCTCTGCCTGATTTGCAGTCGGGACTTGAAGCTGGGTCTCCCAGATGAGAGCCCTAACCACTAAGCTATTGGCTGTTCTCTTACCCTCAATCTCATTTTTCAGGAAAGGTCTTGGATTCATTTTGCTACAGAATGGGAATTTTATTGCAGGATGGACAAAATAGAGCACCCAGCTCTATTCCCAACTTAACTAATTGCCCTCCTACCCCACTTCAAGATTTCTGGCTACTGAATGGAGGATGCTCCTGGCACTCAGCCAAGCCAGACATAAGGCCTCCTTCCCATTCTCTGTTCTGAGCCTTAAATCAGCTCTCTTTTTCCAACAGAGTACATAAATCTGCTGGGGCATAATAAGATAAATAAGAACAGCCATACTGGGTCACATCAATGCTCCATGTAGCCCAGTATCATGTCACAGAATCATAGAATATCAGGATTGGAAGGGACCTTAGGAGGTCATCTAGTACAACCCCCTGCTCAAAGCAGGACCAATCCCCAATTAAATCATCCCAGCCAGGGCTTTGTCAAGCCTGACCTTAAAAACTTCTAAGGAAGGAGATTCCACCACCTCCCCAGGTAACGCATTCCAGTGTTTCACCACCCTCCTAGTGAAAAAGTTTTTCCTAATATCCAACCTAAATCTCCCCCACTGCAACTTGAGACCGTTACTCCTTGTTCTGTCATGTGCTACCGCTGAGAACAGTCTAGAGCCATCCTCTTTGGAACCCCCTTTCAGGTAGTTGAAAGCAGCTATCAAATCCCCCCTCATTCTTCTCTTCCATAGACTAAACATCCCCAGTTCCCTTAGCCTCTCCTCATAAGTCATGTGTTCCAGTCCCCTAATCATTTTTGTTGCCCTCCGCTGGATGCTTTCCAATTTTTCCACATCCTTCTTGTAGTGTGGGGCCCAAAACTGGACACAGTACTCCAGATGAGGCCTCACCAATGTCGAATAGAGGGGAACGATCATGTCCCTCAATCTGCTGGCAATGCCCCTATTTATACATCCCAAAATTCCATTGGCCTCCTTGGCAACAAGGGCACACTGTTGACTCATATCCAGCTTCTTGTCCACTGTAACCCCTAGGTCCTTTTCTGCAGAACTGCTGCCGAGTCATTCGGTCCCTAGTCTGTAGCGGTGCATGGGAATCTTCCGTCCTAAGTGCAGGACTCTGCATTTGTCCTTGTTGAACCTCATCAGATTTCTTTTGGCCCAATCCTCCAATTTGTCTAGGGCCTTCTGTATCCTATCCCTACCCTCCAGCGTATCTACCTCTCCTTCCAGTTTAGTGTCATCTGCAGACTTGCTGAGGGTGCAATCCACACCATCCTCCAGATCATTTATGAAGATATTGAACAAAACCGGCCCCAGGACCGACCCTTGGGGCACTCCACTTGATACCGGCTGCCAACTAGACATGGAGCCATTGATCACTACCAGTTGAGCCCACACAAGCCAGCTTTCTATCCACCTTATCGTCCATTCATCCAGCCCATACTTCTTTAACTTGCTGGCAAGAATACTGTGGGAGACAGTGTCAAAAGCTTTGCTAAAGTAAAGGAACAACATGTCCACTGCTTTCCCTTCATCCACAGAACCAGTCATCTCATTATCACTGTCTTCCCACAGTGGCCAATGGCAGGTGCTTCAGAGAGAATGAACAGAAGAAGACAATTATCAGATGATGCATCCCTGTCCTTCAGTCCCAACTTCTGGCAGACAGAGGCTAGGGACATGCGGAGTAGGGGATTGGATCCCTGACCATCTTGACTAATAGCAATTGATGGACCTAAACTCCATGAACTTATCTAATTCTTTTTGGAACCCAGTTATACTTTTTGCCTTTACAACATCCCCTGGCAACAGTTTGTGACTGGGTTTACAAGGCCCAGGGGCCCTGCTGGGGGTCCTTGGGGTACTACCACATCCCTTCCCAGAAAAAGGGCAGTGGAGGTGCGTCCTCCAAGCAGCTTAGAGAGGCTGTGGTGGAAGCAGCAAATCAGGGAGGCTACACAGAGAAGCCAGTCAGAGTGTTGCAGGCCCCTATAAAAGGAGTTGCAGTATCAATGAGAGTCAGTTGCTGTCTAGAGCCAGAGGAGTGAGGATGATGTTCCTGGCTGGCTGAAGGACCTGTACAAGCATGAACAGAGAAGTTGCTAGCAGGGACTGGAGGAGCAAGAAAGAGCTCCTGGCTAGCTGCTGGGACTGAGTACAATATTGCCCTGAGCTAAGGCTAAAGGAAGGTATCAGGGTTTGCAGGGAAGTGGCCCAGGGAAATGTAGCATACAGAAAAAGGACACAGCAGATGGCTGCTACTGATGGGGTCCCTGGGATGGGACTTGGAATAGTGGGTGGGCTTGGGGTCCCCCCCACCAGCCATTAGGAAAGTGACATAAGTCCTGAAGAAGGGGAATTTACAGAGGCCCAGGAGAAGGGATTGAAAACCCCGAAGAGGGTTGGTAGTGATTGAACTGAGATACTCTCAGAAGGAGATTGATTGAACTGAACGATTCAGCTGAAGAGCTGGGGCTAGAGAGAATAAAGACGGTCCCATATCAGGGCCAGGACTATCTAAAGACTGTGGGCCTCATTAAAGACTGAGCCCAGGGAGAGCTACAGGAAACCAGCAAGGGTACTAAGATAGGCCCCTCGACTGAGAACTGAGCCTGTGGAGGGCTACAGAGATATTCCATCCAAGGAATACTATGACAAGCCCCTGTTGCACTAATTAAGGACCTGAACCCTGGGAGGACTACAATTTGAGTCTTTTGCTAGTCGCTTTTCCAATTCTTTTTTGGCCTACCTAATTATACTTTTACACTTGACTTGCCAGAGTTTGTTCCTTTCTATTTTCCTCAGTAGTATTTACTTTCCAATGTTTAAAGAATGCCTTTTTGCCTCCAGCTGCTTCTTTTACTTTACAGAACAAGGAGAAATGGTCTCAAGCTGCAGTGCGGGAGGTCTAGTTTAGATATTAGGAAAAAGTATTTCACTAGGAGGGGCGTGAAGCACTGGAATGAGTTACCTCGGGAGGTGGTGGAATCTCCATCCTTAGAGGCTTTTAAGGCCCGGCTTGACAGAGCCCTGGCTGGGATGATTTAGTTGGGGTTGGTCCTGCTTTGAGCAGGGGGTTGGACTAGATGACCTCCTGATCGTCTATGATTCTTTGATCTCTGTGTTGTAACCCAAGAAGCCTGGCCAGAGCCTAACTCACACTGCACCTTTTTAGTCAAAGTCAACACAAGGCTGTTTACTGTGATATGTAAGGCCCAGGTGGCCACCCTAGGTTCAATAGTCATTTGATGTAAGATGAGGCAGGGTCACTTAGCAAAAAGCTCCTCTGGCTCACTCCACCCTGTGACAACTGGTACCACAGTAGGATGTCCAAATTCCCCTTTGGGAAGAAGGGGCTGATGGAAGAGCTCCTGCCACTCCTGCCTGATGACAGGCCCAGGCTGAGGCC